GTAATGCACATCTTACACACAGCCGTGCCAACATTACACAACAGTTCAACGAGTTTTGGTTAAATGAGAAACTGAGCAACAGGATTCAGAAAATGTTTAAATGTCACACAAACAGGGAAGTGAAACACAGCAAAGCCTTGTGAAAACCGATTCGAGTGTGTTTGCACCTGACGTTCCTCTGCTCTTCCTGTGCCGCTAATCTTGTCTGATAAGCGCCAAAACAAAAGATGTGGTGAGCAGTGACACACGTCACCCAAACTTTAACTGACAGGATGTGTGTCTTTTTTTTTTTTCTTCATCTACTTAACTTTTATAACTCGATGGTTTTACGTTTGTTTCGAGATTTGTTTCAATAGAAATTTATGCAAAGTTAGCAAAACCTGAGGGTTGTGGTGGGAGATCAGAAGACATGTCAGTAAAAAAAAAAATAACTCCCTCACAAAGGTTCCACGCAGTTCTATGAATACTCAAACGAGGCTGTACCACACGCTCAGCAGCTCCTCTGTCCGGAATTTTCCACTCGGATGCACAGCATGTATTTACATATTCTCACCGTGTTTCCCTCCTGACCATCCGGAGGCTGTCAGGCTCTCCTGTAACTGAATAACATCAGTGGAGTGCTGGATCATTTTAGTCCTATAACAGAGTGCTGTGTGTCATGATGAGCAAACATTCACTTAATATCTGCATGCAGCGGGAAATTATTATCTCGTTTATCAAACAGGTCATCGCACTGTGTGTGCTCGGCTTTTTGCGTTGGCTTGAGAACGGAGTTAATTCAACAAACGCAAGTGGATCACGTACAGAATAAAAGCTTCATCAGCCAGGTGTGAAAGCCCCGGGAAACCTGGCTGGAAATATTCTAAATGCACATTTGATATCAAAATGTATTGTATCTCAAAGCACCCACAAAACTCTGAGTGAAAAACAAAGATTCATAATAATTAGAAAACCTTATTCTGAAAAAGCTTATTTTGAATCTTAGGTCAGTTCTCAGGACTGTGTGGGCGTGGCAGCTCACACATGTCAATCAAAAGGTCTGCAACCTTCAGACTCGAAAATGCCCAAAGCATTCTGGGATACCTAGCCACGCTAACAGTGACGACAGTGTCTCCTCTGCACCTTTAAGAAAAGCTAAAGACCCAGCTCTTTCATGAATACCTACTAACTTAATGATGATGGTCTCCATATTATTGATGATGATGATGATGTGGTAATGACGATGGTTTTTGTTTGATAATGACGACTTATAAGATGGTTTCTATACTGATCAGAGCTCTCAAGAACTGCCCTCAATGTTGTGCTTTGCCTCTGGTCACTTCCTGTCAGCACCTGTGTGTCCAATCAGACTCAAAGCTGATCGTTTGCTCTTACTGACATTGTTCCTTTTTTCTAGATCCTTGCTTGTGTTGTTCTTCTCTCTGATGTACGTCGCTTTGGATAAAAGCGTCTGCTAAGTGAATTGTAGAAATGTTACTTTCAATCAACATAACAGGCTAAGAGCTGTTACAAACATCTTCATTTCTGCTGTAAAAACAGACTTTTTTTTTTAAATGGGTGTTTATGTGACTTCCTGTGATTCTGCAGCCAGCCTCTAGTGGACGCTCGAGGAACTGCAGGGTTTTGCACTTCCATATTGGCTTCATTTTTTTTTTACATCCGAGGATGTCGTTTGGCAGTCATGTAGAGGCTGACATGCAGGGAAGCAGAACACCGCTTCAGGTGTTAGACGAAGCCGTTTGGCAAAGCCCAGAGCTCTCCAGATAAAACTGGTCGACGGTTATAAGGGGTAAGGATTGCAGACTATGCGGGAGTACTTTTAGTGAGACTCTAGCAAAGCTCACCAAATTCAGCCCACTGTTTCTCCAAATTAAACTCTAGACAAGCTGTCGTCCTCACCGGTGGATGTGACGGCTGAGTGGAAGGAGCAGAGTTTGTTTTGTGGCACTTGATTGGACCGGACATGTGTGTATTTCTTGATTATGGGTTTAATAACACCACCCACTCCAAACCCAACGTCTGAAAATGTTTGACAAAATCTCAAAAACGGTCTTAAGGTGATTTGGAATACTTTTAGAGATTTAATATTAAGAACATAAATTGTAAATTACAAAGTCAGAAGCTTTTTTGTGGATTTGGGTTTCCAGGGGCTTTAAATCACAACCGTGTAGGCGGTGGACTGATTCCTATTCACCTCCACTTTTCTTCCTCTTTGTGATACTACTGTGTTTGTCTGCTGTGTCTGATTTAAGAGACACCTGAGAGTTTAAGAGCGATCATGTTTCAGCCTCTTGGCTGCTCTCTTCCTGTGAGAGTCTTTGGTTTACTGGACTGCATTAAACCTGTCACTAGAACAATAAAATTACTGATAAAAACCAGGCAGACGTGAAGAGTCCATGTATGGTTAATATTTAAAGAAAGAGCCAAACAACTCACTGAGGAATAAATGTGCCGTACTAAAGCTTGAGTTGAAATCTTCATACAATAATTATACAGAATAAATATTTAAAATCTGTGAAACGACTTGGTTACTAACAGGGTCGTCCTGACACCAGATTTTATCACTTCTACACAATTCTAGTAAAGATCTAAAGATGTCAACGCCTGTTCCAATCAAAGACTGTAAATATTGATGGGCGTCACGCAGGTGCATGATGGGAGCTCATCTGAAGTACTGTCATGATGCCTGATTGTCCGCTCAAGATGAATTAAAGGAAAAATTAGACCTGTAGATAAATCAGCCAGCTGGCAACTCGTCCCTGAACTCCCCTAAGAGGACATTATGATTTGTATAAGAGGTTATTTGGGACTGTTTCAAACCCCTACAGATGCCCACATGATTGAAAAAGCATCCACACAAATATGTGACTGGGAGGTGAAATTCATAAATAAACATTTTGGGGAGTTTTGAGAAATCTTTAGGCGGTGCAAATCTGTCAGTGTTCAGCCGTCTGTTACGGCAGGGGGGCTCCGGAGGTTCATCGGCAGCAGCCTCCATGCTGGAAATGCTGTCTCAATCTAACTCTCAGTTTGTACCAGGCTGTAAACATGTTCATTTTTGCTGTAAAAACGTCTTTTTGGCTGTGGTGTGTACGTGTCTTCCAGTGCTTCTGCAGCCAGCCTCAAGTCGACACTCAGCGTACTTCAGGATTTTGCACTTCCACATTGGCTTCATTTTTCAACACCAGAGGTCGGTCACCTTCGTTTCAATACCCTGGCAACAAAAGTAGAAGTTCTAGGCATCTAAAATAGGGTCATTTATTGGGATTTGTTTGTGTATGTGCAATTTAGACAGTGCTCTGTCTCTCTTTTGCTCACAGCAGCTTCTGGTTAAGTTTCGATTCTGGGAGTGAGTTCCCGTCCACTGATCTGTGATTGGTCTGTAGCTTCAGTGGTCGAAAATATGAGGAACTAGACTGTAGTTTCACCCTGCTAACCGCAACAGCTTCCAGTGACGCAAAAATCTAATTTTGTGTCACTGGAAGTTCCTTTTAGACTCAGAAGACAAAGATTTACCATCTCAGGGGAAAATGAGGGCGGGATGCACGACCATTCAAAAATACTACCAGGTTTCTAATGATCAAAGATTAATGCTAATGGGTGAAGTATCCCTTTAAATATGAATTAAGAGCTGAAGTTTTATTCTAAAGGTTGGTATTTCTTTAACAACAACAAAAAAAAAGATCGTATTGTTATAAAACGAGTTGTGTTGAAAAACATCCAAGTATCAGAAGTTTTGACAACTATAGTTACTAGAAGGATTAAGTGGAATTACCATTAAAGTAGTTTCAATCAAATTTGGCATAAAACTACAAAAATATAGAAAACGTGTGACTAAAAGTGCACTCAATTTGAACACAACATAATACCAGTAAAAAGAAGCCACCTAAACTCCAACATTTGAAATGCCTAGTGCTAAATATCTGTGTTACGCCTTTAAGAGGAGCTACAAACTGTTGGTAAGCTTTAAGTGATTCGACCTGTAGACTTCAAACTCTCACACAGGACGGCTCAGTCCACATGTCTAACAGTTTCAAACACACTCACAGACTGTCACCGTGCACATTTATTCCTCCTTAACACTTTTTTTTTATACCCTGTGTGCTCACTGTACCGAGACTGCAATGTTGCCCAACTTGCTTGAGGGAATTACCCACAATTCATCGTGCTCTAATGGTAGGAAGAACTACACTAAAAATGACAGATGATTTTTGAAAACATGGACAGAGTAAATCATCACAGCGCTCTTTGTAGTTCTTTGCTTGGATGTTTTTTTTTTTTTTACACTTATTCCCCGTCTTAAATCTGATTGGACCCCAGACCCTTATAGTTCTAAAAACATAGTTATGATAGAAATCATTATACTAAAAGAGTATGATTTAATTACAAGCCCTGTTTTATTTTTTCACTGAGTTCTGGCACTTTTGCCCATTCACACATTCTCCGTGAGTTAAGCAGATATGCCAAATAAAGTTGGAGGCTCGGCTTGTTAGGCTGCATATTACAACAGAGCCACAGTCTGGCCCGTTGCCACCTGAACAAATAAATGCAGCATGCTGAAATGCATCAGGTCACAGCACAACTCCTGTTACCACTACGTCTATTCTTTGACTCGGTTTATATTTCTAATCTAGGAATAAGTTATCTGTAATTTATTAAGACATAAAAAAGAAACAGATTTTTAAAGCTTGCAACTGCCAATAGAGATTGTTTTATTTGCACTGTGCACACAGCCCTGCCCATGTACCACACACACACACACACACACACACGCACGCACACACACGCACACACACACACACACACACACACACACCCCCATTCACAAACACATGTGTATTTGTGTGTCTGTTGGGGGAGGGAAGAAAGTCCCCATTAGAAAACTGGTTAGGCAAATATCTTGAGGAGCTGCCATGTTGACAGGAGAGAAACCTCCACATTATCTTAGAGGTGAAAACAGGAAGGACTGGTAGCAGAAGGCGGAGCGCTGATACGTACACGAGGACGATTTGAATTTCTGGGTCATCACCAGCGATGATGTTGTAATCTACGGCCTTCACTTGGAGCACTCTGCCCTGAATCATCACAGCAGCAACATCAACATAAAGTGTGTTTATGGTGTGGTTCACGGTGACACAGATGAATGGTACGAGATAAATATCCAGCTAGTACCTCATAGCTCTGAGTGGCAATCATTATAATCAACAACAAATGCAGCTATGCTTGTTTCATATCAGAAACGAGGAGCATAAGGAATACGTCAGACTAACAACAAACCAAAGAAGTGCTTCAAAAGACAACAATCCAGGTATGAAAACAAAAACACTCTTGCAGTATTTAATCCAAGGAAAGAAAGCACGTTATCTAATTATGGCAAAACTGCACTTGCAGAGACCTTCACCTCGCCACAGACTTTTTAATCATGCAGCGTCAAACATCACAAAGCCGATGAAATCTGTAAGATCACAGAGCAGCTGATTGTGTGAGCCTGTTACACAATCCTCACAACCGTAGAAGGCAGGATGCACGTTCCAACACGTACCAGTATGCATAAAGGAGAGTTTACACCCTGCGTGCATACTGGTGGTACCATAGTCTTCAGGTTGGCCCAAAGAGGACACAACAACCTCTCTCGGTATGTGTCTGAATAAGTGCAGGCTACATCTTGTTTCTTCGAGGCTTTTCGAGCGGTAGTGCAGGCTAATCCTTAAAAACTAGTCTCACAGATGCACAGATTTAAAATCCTGATGCGAAGGTTTCATGCGATGCTGGAAAAAAAAAAAAAATCAATGAAGGGGGTCAGCACAGTCATCATCTGGACAACAGACGCTTCAGCTTCCTAGTCAGCGCTGCCTCAGTGACTCATCCGGGGCCCTGCTGAGTCAAGTGGAGTGACTCTTGATGCTGAAACTGATAAAGTCAGATTTAAAGAGAAAGGGGCCTGAGGGGGGGGGGGGGGTGCAAATACAAGCTTGTGGACAGCAGGTATTTATTAAGTTTAAAAAAATGAGCTGAGTCAAAGTCAAATGTGGGATCTTCTTCATTTCTGGATAAAGCTTCTCACTGAAGTCAAACAGTGAACCTTACACCTTTGAAAGGTCTACCACCAAAAAAAAAAAAAAGCAAGCGTGCAAAAAGCCTGGATACCACTGATTCCAGTTATTTCCATGTATTTAACAACAGTGTAAAACAAAAGGCAGAAGAGCTTACATTGACTATAGAGGGGGAATATGTCATCAGCTTTAACGAGCAATGCCTGTGTGACAGCAACAGAGAGAGAGACACAAACACCATGCTGAACTTCATCCGGCCAAGAGGAACAGAACACTTAAACAAATGTAAAAAAAAAAAAAAAAAACATTACAGATAGCAGATGGTGATTAAAAAAAAAAAAAACGATTAAGTGAATGTGACTTTGCATCTCCGGAAAAGGGGGGATGATCGAATTTGAACTGGAGTAAACCCACAGTCAGTTAGTTACCTAGCAACATGGCAGCACGGGGTAATGACAAATAGATGGCTGGCAAGTGCTCAACACATACCTGGAGCTGATGCACAGCAGAGATGCACACCTCTGGCTTCCCCGACACTCCAGCACGCAGCAGGTCGAAGTTCATCCACCTTTTAGTCCGGGTTGTAGGGGGGGGGGCAGGGAGGTGAAGAAGGGGGGGGGGGTCACTGCTTTCACCTGAGACGCGGGTTTCAGCACGAAGCAGCCGCTAACTTAACGAGGCGAGGAGACGATGCCATGACTGAGATGAAGGCATCGAAAGTCGGATTTCCTTTCCGTGTATTCGGCTCTTCTCCGGCGGAGGTACGACATGTAAAGATGACACACGGAGGTACATTTTTTTTTTTTTTAAACCCCGGGAGAGAGAGTTTGTTACATGATATTTAACCCCGCGTTTCTGCTCCGTGTTTACCAAACGTGGACACGAGAAAAAAAAACCGCACGCTGGATTTTCCTCAATCGACAGAAGAAGAAAAAAAGGCCGAAGTAGCTATGGCAACGTTAAAAATGTCCTTGAGTATCCAGGCTCTCTCTCCACGGTTGACGGGTTGGGGTCGTGCAGGGGGCGGGAAATGTAACGCCGGTGAGTTCCGCTTCAGGGGCTGTGACCTGCGACCACAGAGAAGTGGGAAGAACACGGATGAAGAGCTCTCGCCATCGTAAGTTGTCACTCCTCAAGTCTGAACCGCTGCAAGACTTCACAGTCCTTTCAGGCAGGGCACCGAAATAACACCAAGTTACCGCGAGAACACGCGGACTTCCGGCACGTACTTCAAAATAAAAGCTCGACTTTGCTGTTCTTAATTTAAAAAAAACGCGAGCAAAACGTTTGTTCTGGGTTTTCCGTTTAAATGGTCATTTATACAGTTTTTCTGAAGTGTAACATATTGAAATCTTTGTTGTTAATATTCTTCATATGAGTAGCTTTATTTTTAAAGTTAAATACATGAGTGCAAACTTTGCCAGAAAGCTTTTTTCATTTTTAATTCTCAAGTGAACTATTACTCAACAAGACAAACCAATAACCTCTACCTACCAATGTGTCGTACATCTGGAGGACTCAATAAGATACTGTGGAGTCAAATTATGGAACTTTATTTACGTAATGATTTTTTGTCTTTTTCTACATACAAATCAAGACTCAGAAATGTGTTGATGTCAGAAAGATTAGTAGTGAATAGTGAATTGTCCTGATGTTGTTATATTGTTTACATACTGTATGTCCTGTTTTGCTCTATTTTTATGTTTTCAATGTTTGTATGTCATTTTCAATTGGGGTACATTTTATTTGTGGTAGTAAATATTCTTACTTTGTTATTTTTACTGTATTTTATTTTAACTTTGTTTAATCTCTTAAGGTGAGGTTTTGAGATAAGCCCTCATGGGTTTCTACCTCACCAAACATGTGTTTTATTTTTTATTTGTTTTAATTTTCTGTTTGACTCTTCTTTCAAATAACGTGCAAATAAAATAAACTAAACTAAAACTAAACTAAACAGTTCCGACTGGGGCTCCAATCTAGTTTTTATTTGAAGGTTAGTTGAGTGAAAGATTTTGGACAAGTTGTTATGTTATTCTGTTTTAATGACATGCATCCAAACAAACACTTACACACAATATGCCTTAGCATCTTAAATATATTTTAGTACAATTACACCCCACTCTTTTTCATCTTTTATATGTTATTATTATTATTATTATTATTATTATTATTATTATTATTACTACATTTTCCCCTGACTATCTATACTTCCAGATTTATCTCTCAGATTCAGTTCATTTCTGGACGCTTTCCTGTTTGTATTTTTTAAACTCTTACACTGCATTGATATAGTTCGTTTCGTTTAAAAAAATAACCATTATTGTTTGTCTTTAATGACACTAGTCTGTCATGTTGTTTAATCCACAACAAATTCAGTTCAGATAACTTAAAAGCAGCACCAACACCACTTAGTAACCAACTTTATTTTGACTAAGTTACTCTCTTTTATTTCTGGTGTTTGTTTTTTACATTTGCAACTTGACGAAGCTCACACTCGTACAGCCATCCAGCTGAGCAGTTTATAGAGTGTGGCGCCCCCTGCTGGAGTATATGTGGTCTCACTTCATATCAAGAGTGGTGGTTCCAGCAGACATTCATATACTGCATTTTATTAGAATTTAAAGGAACAAACGCACTTTCAGAGAAATGATTTCCTCTAATGTTACATTGCACATTTGCGTTAAAGTGTGTCACCTAAGGAAAGAAAAAAACACATTTACATCTATATTATCCAGATTTTTAAGCATGTACACAACATGTCCACATTTTTACGGTATCCACCTGATTGATATTCTGTTGCCTGGAGCAACATTAGAGTTTGGATGACATTTTTAAACACAACATAACAACTCTTGTTTTCTGTGCAATAAGAAATTATTAATGGGTTTCTTATTAACAATGCAGGTTTCACAATTTTTTGGTGAAGTTAGTCTCTTGCAGACTCCACAAGAATACCATACACAAGGTTTTAATGTGCTGAAACAGGGCCTGGTTTTTAATTTGAGCACTAAAGATAAAGTTCAAGTAATTATAAATGCACCTCCCCCTACTGCAATTTCTAAGAAATGACATCACAGGTCATCAGAGATATTGTCTTCTTCCTATGACCTACATAGTTTCCTGATTCACTAATTATAATCACTGTCAAGAGTGGGGGGGGGGAGCATAACATCACACTGCTCCAAGTGAATAATAGATTGTTTTTAAATTCACGTCTTTATAGCATTTGATGATCATGACATTTTATGAATGTTCTGAAAACTTAATAAAACACTTCTCATGCACGAGAACAAGACGCTGTTTATAGTTTATATGTGGAGATAATGAACTTAAACTTTTGGTGATGACAGTAGATTCAACAGCAGTTCCTTGTTGTGCATAAAACAAACTAGACAGATGTTATGAAGACAGTTTGTTGTTTTATGTTTGGTGTGAATAAAAAATAGAAATCACTAAAGCAGCTAACTGCATAAAGTGTTGATTCTTTTACAGTCATTTCACTGCATTAAACTAAAGCAGGGTTCATATAGTAACTAATCTAAATACTATATCTTTATATTGTTAAATTAAATGTCTAGGATAAAAACTTTGAATACGTGATTTACTGTGGTAGAATTGTCTTAATTGTTTTCAATCTGGCTTCTCTCTCTCTCTTTTCTCTTTGGTTTGTTGTCTTTGTTTGCCTCCACACACACACACACACACACACACACACACACACACACACACACACACACACACACACACACACACACACACACACACACACACACACACACACACAGTTTATCTAGTTGAGCTCCACGATGGCGGTAGAGGGTCAGCACTGTATTTCATCTTGCCCGAAGAAGAAGATAACGCCTGTTGATTGGTCGAACGGTGACTGAAGCGTAGAAGAAGAAGAGGAACACAAACATGAGCGCACACTCTTGACCGTGAAAATAAAAGAAGTGGGACTCATACTTACAGGAATTGAGGTTTTTAACCATAGACTGTAAATATTATACATATATATATATATATAATATATTTAACTCATGTTTATTAAAGCTGGCACATGACGTCATATGATGTTTATTCAACACGTCTTGTGTGTTTCCTGCTCAGGGAGATGTCACGCCTCTCTCCGGTCATCAGCTGTGTGTACAGGTGGTCCAGTCGGGTCATATGGAGGAGTCCCCCCACTCACCCTTCATTTCCGGGGCTCCCGCGTGTTCTGGCCGCCGGTAAAAAGGACCTGATACACCTTCCTGTCCTGAATGAGGACGAGCTTGAGGAGCAGTTTGTGAGAGGATCTGGACCTGGAGGACAGGCAACCAACAAAACCAGCAACTGTGTTGTTCTCAAGCACATCCCTACTGGAATTGTTGTGAAGGTTGTTTTTAACTCTGTATGTTATTATGTAGGAGCTCTCTATCCACGTAAAATAGATATTTGCTTGATGAGAGAAATGGACAGAGCAACAGCCGCCTGGGAGTGAAGCCACAATATTTAGAGCTCCTTCACTGACTGCCTGCAGTTTAGGTCATAAACCACGCCTCCTCCATATTACCAGATGGGACAAGGGGTTAAACTGAAGAGTCAGGAATTAACCAAAGGATCCATACACTGTATTAAAAGATCCCAGCTGTTACTAAATCAAATTTTATGACTATCAAATAAGATATAATTCTCAGTCTGTTCATCTCACGTCAGTCTTTTTATTTGTATTTCAGTCTGATTAAACTTTTACATGGATTCTTAACATTGCAACTTGTTAAAAATGATTAATGCAACACCTTAAGCAGTTAAAAATTAAAAAAAGCATATCTAAAATATCGATATTTTGCCATGGCAAGAGATAAAATCGCCACAAAATAACGCTATACAATACTATACTGTATCGACTTCTTACTCCACCTCTACTGTATACATTCTTTAGATCTGCTTACCCTGCACCTTGTTGTGTCAAACTGTAGAGTTAAAGTTAAAGTGCAGGTCAGAATAACCTTTTGGCAAACACAGAGTCTGCTGTGGTAGTTTGTTTTTATCATTTTGATTTATAGCCATTGTTTATATTTCAGAGTATTTTTGTTTCCATTAGTCAATTAGATTTATTGCCTTGAGGTAGAACATGATTTTTTTTGGCAACCAGATTTACTTGCTGTCCTTTTTTTTTGTAACGTTCTCCCTGCAGTGCCATCAAACCAGGTCTGTGGACACGAACAGAAAGCGTGCACGGGACATTATGAGAGAGAAACTCGATATCCGGCATAAAGGAGAACTCAGTGAAGTTCTTGTGAAGAAGAAAGAGTCTGAAATGAGGAAACAAGAGAAGAGGAGGAAGGTAAATGAGAATCTGGAGAGGAAAAGACAATTTAAAGAAGCACTAGCCACATCTTCTGAAACTGGAAAGGACCCTGTTTGATTTGGTTGTTTCAATATAAACTGAAGATGTGAATACTGGAGTTGATTCTTATTCTGTTTCCAAAGACTGAATAACAAAACCTGCAAGGGTCTGTCAGCAGGATGGATTGTATTATACGTTTTTCTATTTGTTGCAACATGTCAACATGACATAATACTTTCAGAGAGGGAGAGTTTGAAAATAAAAAAAGTACTGTGAGGTTATCATGAGGTCAGACGTATTTGATCTTAACCTGTAGGTGTAATTTAATTCAGAGACTTTAACACTTTCAACAAGGGGACATTTGGTTTGCAGCCGAGTAAAACCATAAGAAAACTTCTCTCAGGTACAGAGAACATTAAAATACACAAATACAGGAACACATGAGTGACAACCGAATGTCAATCCATCATTATTAAAAACCCCCATCAGACATCTGTAGTTAAAAGGAAGATTTTTCTGGTTCATTATTAAATTCTTAGTGGCTTGAGCTAAACGTTTGTTTTGATCCTTTTGTTGGATTTAACAAAATGTAGTCTAATCTCATTTTATGTCTGCCATGATAACGTCATTTCTTGTTATTAATTTCCTTTGAATTGTTAGATTAAATTGTTACTTGTTAGAGCATCTCTGGTTTGCTTGTTTTACACATTACTGCTCAAACACTGATGTTTTAATTGGATTACACCCTCCCAAATGAATCACTAGATAACTGGTAAAGCTCCCTACTCTAATACTTTATGAGACAAACACAGAATACTTCCCCTCCAATGTGTGTTTGTTTTTTTCCATACTGGGGCCTACTCCCAGGACTCACAGTATAAAACATGTATCAACAGCACACTTATAAATACACTTTTAACAGCCAGCCTGGGACCTTATTGGGCCGAAGACTACATCCTACTTAGTTTGCATGTTGAATCAGTTTTATTGGTCAAATACTTCATGTGGGCAGACACAAGAACTTTGGTTCTGGTTTTACATTAATCTCAATGCACAGATTAACTAAGTGATATAAAAACATAAAAACAACACTTGTAGAAAGGACACATTTGACAATAGTGGAAGGGAAACTGCAGAGCTGCTGAGATACATATTGTCTTGGATCATGTTTTTATAGGTAAAAAATGTAGAAGGTTGTAATTGACCTTCAGTGTAGCCGAGTAGTTAACAAAAATGAAAGAGAGGGTAAATTAATGAGTAACAATTTCCGAATGCACAATGGATTTCAAGTATGATTAATTATTTTTTTTATTTTTTTTAGAAGCATTTTAACAACATTTGTGTCAAGGTAATATATACGAGTTTTAAAACTCTCCTGAATTCATCATTATTTAAAACATATGCTATGCTAAATATCCTGTATTTCTAATAAACCTTGTTTACCTTTTCAATCAAAAATTGTATTTTTAAATGATTCTGTTAATCCCACTGAGTTCTGAGTTTGGGAAATCTTCTGCAAACTGGACACCTCAGCAGAAATGATTAAAGGGGACCAACTTTGTTGCAGCCAGAGCTTCGGCCAATGAGAGAGTTCCTTTTAAGATCAGCCCCCGCCCACATAAGCGAAACAACCAATCAGAGTGACCGTACGGTTTTTAAATCCTTCACGCTGTCGTCGCTCCGCTCTCCGCGCTGCGAGGGGTCTGATGTTTTTCGTTGCGGAAGCTGTGAATGAAGTTCTGCGAAGAATTTAAAAGCCTCCTCGTCTTTCTTTGGATATTATTCTGGTAACTGACATGGCAAAAGGTAAATTTACAAGCGTTTTTGTAATTGTTGCACGTCGCGCAAATGTGATATTAGATAATTAACGTGAATGTAAGCAAACAGTCAACGCTAAAAACTCAAATAAACGAAGCATATGTTTACAAATAAAAGTCGCCGGTTGTGAAATGTTATAAGTGTTTGCATTTATTCACTTCCGTGTTTATAAAGGAAAGAAAAATGTGCTGAGAAACGACAGAAAGCCAGAAGACAGTGTTGAAAATAAAGACAGGTCGAGGACGGAAACAAAGGAAAACAAACCAGCGAATAACAAGGTAAGTTCATCTCTGTGCTATTTACACTTTAGAGCCCGCAAACTAAAAGAGGAAACACGAGTAGCCCTTTCTCACAGTCTGTGTTACAACATAACACAGACTGTGATGTTACACTCACAGGGCTCCTCCTGCCTCAGCTGGGAAACCTTCATGCAATGATCTCTAAACCACGTTACAGGAGAACTGTGCTTTATACCCTCATCTCTGTCTGGAAGGCTAAACCACGTTACAGGAGAACTGTGTTTTATACCCTCATCTCTGTCTGGAAGGCTAAACCACGTTACAGGAGAACTGTGTTTTATACCCTCATCTCTGTCTGGAAGGCTAAATCATTGACTGACAGGCAAGGCAAGTTTATGTAAGAGCTCATACATGGAGCAACTCAGTTATTTAAACAATTAAACAAACAGAACTTTGAATGCATCATTTAAGCAAAAAAAAAAAAAAAAGGAGTGAAAATGCAAAATATATTACAACAAAAGCCAAGCAACAATTTACTTCACCACATTTGAATGGTTGTACACAAACAACACCCCCCTGCTTTGGCAGGGCAAATGTATTTATGGTGCATTCAAGTGGTGTCGGAAAAAAACAGTATTTGTAAAATGCACATGAACACCCTCTGAACAAATGGTGCATTCATCTTTTGCCAAGTAAAGGTCAACCACTAAAGTCAATTTAGTTTGGGCTTTGACTTACTAACCCCTAAACTTAGAAAACAAAATCCTTCCATTGGTGTTGTACACATGGTAAAAACGATTGTCCGAGTTTTTTATGAGCAAAATATGTTTTGTTAATGTTAACATACTTTTTATTAATTCACATATTGCACATCAACTTTTTGCTCAAATGCAGCCTTTACTTTAAACAGTGACACTCCACACTCCTTCATAGTGTTCATGCTGTTTTTCGCTGTTTTCACAACATTCAGACTTCAACAAAGATACAAACTGAAATCAAGTGAACGAGGTTAATGAGCTGTCATGCAAAACAAAAGATTAGATGAAAAGAACCTAACCCTCAGTCTCTTTGTGTGTCATGTTGGGGGTTGGATACCTCAACAACCTGTTTTTAACTGATGTGAAATCCAACAACTCTCCTTCGTGTGTTACTAAATGTAGACTATACTGTTACCATGGAGACGTTCACTTCAGGTTGGAGTTGGCAGAGAGAGCAGTGAAGACTTTTTTTCTTCTCTCTTTTTTTTTTTGGGAAACCTACTGTTATCTTAAAGTGATAAGAAGAGCTTCTCTCTGAACTCTGAAAGGTGAAGCATCTTAAACTCACATGATGCCGTGCGTGGTTTGGAGGAGAAACTCACGACAGACGCCACAGCTATATGGTTTAACACACAGCCTTAAATGGCATTTAATTTACCAAACAACATCGCCACGATGAAGAAGACAAACCATCTGTGTATGTATCGACAAACTGAACACACACAGAGAACATTGATTTGTAAATACACTTTTAAACCTAAAAACCTACATTTAAACATTATTTTTGACTCCATTAATGTGATTTTTCTATTCTTATAAAACAGTCTTCAGGTTGAAAGACGACCCACTTTAATGTATATAAGTGTTGATCTGTTATCGGTGTCTTTTAATACTGTTATTTTGTTTAATCATGTGTAATTTCACACTTGCTTTGGCAATGTAATCGTGTTTCCCTTGCCAACACAGCCCATTGAACGTTGTAATTTTATGGACTTTTTTTTACAGGGTTTAATAATGATTGTTTCTGCAGGATTTCTTTGGTACATTGCAGACAGTTCCTCAGGGATTAAGGACTCAAGGCAAACCTAGATCCCCACTGAGCGACGGTTCAAGCATGCTGATCCAGGAGGGAAATGAATCCGATGCAAACAATCCTGACGTGACCAAGCTGAAAAAAGGCAAGTTAGTTCTATATGGTTAAATGTTTTCCATTTGTCTTCTGTGATGTCCCAGTTTGTGTTCTTGTGGTTGAACCTCTGTATGGTTTAAAAACAGCTTGTGACAAAACGTTATCTGTTTGTTCTTCATTTCAGACGTCCCTCATGACATAAAATCTGAGAGTAGTGAGTCCAAAGAGCAAAAGCCTGAAGCAGCGCTGCACTGTCCTGGCGTCACAGAAACAGCCACAGATCAGCTTAAGCAGAAAGAGACCACCGCTCACGTCAACGCCAAACCTGCAGCAGACGGCAAAGTGTCGGCAGCCAAACCTCGGGGCAGACCCGGTCGCAAACTCGGAGCAAAGAAGTGAGTCCAGAGAGCGACCAGGACAGAGTCACGTCGGGCCTTTTTTAAACACATTGAACGTACTGATGACGTTTCTCTTCTCAGGACGGAGAATAAAGCTCCCCAAAACAGAAAGGTCACAGACTATTATCCCATCAGGCGGAGCAACAGGAAAACTAAAGCAGAGCTGAAGGTCGGTATGAGTTTAACTTTTTAAAAACCATTAGTCATGTTATTGTGTTGATATGTTTCAGTCTTGTATTGCTGCCGATCAGTATGTGTTTATAAGGGTTATGCTGCCCTGCTCTAAAAAGAGTTTGACCCGCTTATTTAAACTGTCAACAGAGTGAAGAACACCGACACATCGATGACCTGATAAAGAACGGCATTGAGGAAGGAATGCAGGTAACACGTCATGGTGTAAGAATGTTTCGGGACACTTTCAGTCCCAATTTTCTGGCAGATTTTTTTTAGGAAGGTTGTCAAAAAATGTGGATACCACATGTTTTTAAAGCATTGGTTCTGAATCTGGGGTCGGGGGGGGGGGGGGTCAGCTTTTCTTACACATAAGGATGGAAGGAAAAAAAGGTTGGGACTGTTTTAAAGGAAACAATTTCTGCAATATCTTGAACCCCTTTAAATGCCTTTATTTTCTTGTTCTCTGTAGTTGCTGGTTCATGAGTTTAAAGTAAATATCTTCAGAATCTGAATCAGTCTAACCTCAATGTGTTGGCAGGTCAAACACATAGAGGGAAAAGGACGAGGCATATTCGCTGACAAGGACTTCAAAAAAGGAGAGTTTGTGGTGGAGTATCACGGAGACCTGCTGGAACTAGAAGAGGCTAAAAAAAGAGAGGCCGAGTACGCTCTGGATCCCCAAACCGGCTGTTACATGTACTACTTCCAGTACCAGGCTAAAACATACTGGTAAGTCCGACTGTCCCTGTTAAGGGAAGAGCTGCTTTCCAAAATAAATTCTTCTAATTATCAGTCCTCTCATGGAGAAATACAGATTCATCTTCAGCTTTAGATTGCAGCAGATTTTAAAATGTGACATACAGTAGTTTGACTTCAGTGTGGATAACTTGTTTTTGTTTGGCAACAGTTAAATCTTCATTTGTTTACCTTTTTCCAGTGTGGACGCTACAAAAGAAACCAGCCGTCTTGGAAGGCTGATCAACCACAGTAAAGCCGGGAACTGTCAGACGAAGCTTCACCCCATCGATGACACCCCTCATCTGATCCTGGTGGCCTCCAGAGACATCAAAGCAGAGGAGGAGCTCCTGTATGACTACGGCGACCGGAGTAAATCCTCCATCATAGCTCACCCATGGCTCAAATTCTGAACCCCTCCTCCTTGAAAAGCTCATATCTGCAATGAATTGGTGCTTTGTGTAAAATATACTATAGACGAGAAGTCCTAAACTGGCTTTTTTTTGTTTTTGTCTTAAGACGAGGATAAAACATGAACTCCATGGAAAGAGTATTGTTTTGCGACAGTTTTTATTGTGCTTTTATAAACTTTTTTTATGATCTAATTGTAGTAAATTGATGCAAGCTTGAAGAGTCTATTTCTCCTGGATACGTAAAGTGTCATATTGTACATGAGGTTACATTTTGTATCACCATTAATTTTCACTATTGTAAATTATTCAATGTGTTGTAAATTGAAGAATAAACACTGTTGAGATTTCACTCCAGCTGTCACGTGGTTAATGTCGAGGAGAACTTATTTATAAAAAAAATGGGCATGCTTTTTATTTGTCTTGACATTTTCCCTCCTACTTTCTTCTAGACAGTGTGGAGACGCACAGGAAACGTGGAGTCGGGGGTACGTAACCTGCAACAAAGGTCCTTTGTGGGAGCAGAGCGGACTATGTTGAGTTTCTGTGATAAGCACTGTAGCCGGTGCACGCCAACTTCATATTCACATCCATCACGCAGTGCTGTGAGTGAAGATAATGCAGGTCTGCCCGTCCTCAAGGACTAAGCCTCTGTGCATGCTTTAAAAAATAGACTGTTGCAGAACTGGCTAAACACTGAAGCTACAGTGTCAGCGACATGGCAACCTGCGTGAGCATGGACTCTAGGGAGGAGGGGGCGGGGGGGGAGACCACGCTTTAAAATGTTTTGAATTTGGACTGCAGTACCAATTTTAAACACTAGGTGTCAGAGTTACATATCGCTGCTTTAGACATGAATGGGACAAATCCGCATAGAGATCAAGGGTACTGCTTCGTCCACAGGGGGCGCCAAAGTCTACACAACAAATGTTCCCCACAGGAGCTTTAACTTAATAAATGGATTAGCTATCATGTTAATGCCCTCATCGTTCTTCTTTTGTTTTTTGTTTTTGGTGGCTTTTGTCAAAGCGTCTTTGAGTATTCAGAAAAGCGTTATATAAAATGAATGTATTATTATTATTAATAATAATACTTTACTGATACATGTGGAGTAGTGGTGTGGTCAGTGGCTGAATATCACACTCAGATGTTCAAACATTTTATTAATGTTTTATATCCTAGAGGAAGGAGCCCGTTCACCTCAATGTGATAGCTAACAGTACAAAAAATGTTTTTAAGACTATTTCACCAACATGGAGCCCCTTTAAGACCCGATCTTGATTTAAAGAAAATCAACTTTTCAAGCTTATAAATAACATAATTTTAGGTAAATGTATCAACATGACCTCCTATATGCTTGTTCACCACTTAAATAATACTTTCCAGTTTCATTAGATATCTTCTTCAAACCCTCCTTTTAAAATATATTTCTCCTTCAAGAACTCTATTTCACTATAAACCATGTGACTGTAAAATTTCCAGTATTACAAACACAACTTGTTAGATTGACAAACACGCATTGTAAAAAATAGTCTATAAAAAAAGTGGTTAAAGGAGGGTAAAGTTGTGGTGATTAATCCTGTGTGGCGTCTCAATGGTCCATTCTTCTGAAGAGTTTCTTTTCTTATTTTCTCCTGAATGAAAACCTAAAAACAGAAAAGGTCAAGCGTTAGTTCAAGGAGTGTGGAGGAAATGTGGAAAATATAAGTCAAAGTGCTCACTGTGAGAAAGCAACTTTGAGTCATGGAAATCTGTAATTACTGACAGCAGCAGGCGCAGCAGTGAGGCAGACAGTCTGCTACTTTCCTACTTTCTCTGTCTGTCCGTCTCTGTGTCAGCGCTCACACAAACATCCTCAGCATCAGCATGAATTCATTTGGTCACAAGTATATCATTAGCAGACAGCAGATGGACTGTGAGAACCGTCTTCCTGCCAGCTCACTTCAACATCATGTGGTTTCTGCTCAACTGCTTACTTGAAACCTCGTCATGCTGAGGTGTAAGGCGTGTGATGGTTTGTAGCCAGAAATAAATATTTGAATCCATGCACGGAAAGATTCATTTGAATTAGTGAACCCTAACGCAATTACAAAGACCAGATTGACAACAATAGTTTTTGTTTAAGGAGCTAAAAAATAAAACCAGACTTTACACAAAAACAACAAATAACTTTAACTAAATGTGGATTTACAATAACCCTATTTAAATGATGCTTATAATGTGTTTCTTGATGACCCTGATGAAAGCCACAAGCCGAAACGCGTCGGTTTAGTAAAGTGCCTGCCTGTCGATCAGCTCAGCTATGCACCTTATTGTGAAAAACACTCATTCTTCATAAAATCAAAGCAGATGTGTTTCCAAAACATTCACCCCCCCGTACAGTGTGTGCTGCTTGAGACATGAGCTGATCCGACCTATTTTGTTTTTGTACCAGGCTGTAAACATGTTAATTTCTGCTGTAAAAAAATGTTTTTTTTTTTTGAATGGAGTGTTTATGTCACTTCTGGTGCTTCTGCAGCCAGCCTCTAGTGGACACTTGACGAACTGCAGGATTTTACACTTCTGCATTGGCTTCATTTTTTAACACTGGAGGTTGCCGCTCTGTTGTCACAAGTTGACACCAGAGTTCAAACTTCGATTAGATACTCGTCAAAATCAAACAATATTGAAACAACAAAAATAGAAACCCTTGGCCCCCAATATTAGGTTATGTTTGACCAAAAGTTGCACGCAAACTGTTTTAATTGAATAAATATATTGGCCACATTTTGGTACCAAAACTTTGCCAATGTATTTATGCGTTTTTAGACTTTGTTCTCTCTCATTGGCTTGTGGCAGCTTTTGGTGATTTGTAGTTATTCTGTACTTTTCATTGATATCGGTCATTCAAAAAATTGGAGATTTTATTGTTTTAAAACTCAAGGTATCAAAAAAAGTAGCAGAGATTTTGACAACTTTCAGTCAAAATAAAAAATAAAATAAAAACTTGTAAAAAGTTTAAAAGCATTATAACCTTCTTTTACACTAACGATTCCCTTCCTGAACTCTCGAGCTGTTTTCATCGAATCGTTCCAGCACATTGACTCACAGTTTGCCGATGGTCGTCTTCTCCTCTTTCGGACTTTTCTCTGTAGCTTCTTCTGACTCCAGGTCCACTTCCACCATGGCTGGTTCCCCCTGTGGAAGAAGCCCGCTGCAGAAGAAAGAGAGCAGAGCTTCAGACACAATCAGCAGAAAAACTACATCAAACAAAAATCAAATAAAAAGCTAGTCAGGACGTAAGATCAACGCCTTCAAAAACAGACCATACAATACGAGACACTTTATTCTCCCCTTGGGGAAGTTTGTCTTGGACTCAAAGTGCTGCCTCATGTTGATGGTCATTTCAAAATGACATAAATGAATGATATTAAAAACTCTGTGACGGTACGGGTAATGACAGTTATGATATTAGAGTTTTCAAAACACCGACAGCAGCATGGAAAAATCTTTGATAAAGCCTAAAACATGAAATCATTTGACCTTGAAATAAAAATTGTGTAGCAGCGTGAAGAGCGACCGAGAGAGAGAGAGAGAGAAGAAATAGGTGAACTAGCAAAAGAAACGTAAAATGTTATTTATACTCTTCATTAACAATATCAATACATACGATATTGTCTTACTCTATATTTCGTTTGAAAATATATTGATCTTGAAAACCCACATTTTCTACTCTTTATTCATATTACCTGTGTTTACCACATGTTTCTTCTGAATCTTAAACAAATCCAAAAAAGTTTTTCATCACCAATCAACCTGAGGCCAGCTGCTAGCTTCTTGATCTTCATCTGACTGCATCAATTAATACATCGATTGTGCACCCCTAGTTGTTGAAGCAGCTGTACTTGATACTGGTATCCTTGTAGGAATATCAGAGTGTTTATGAGGGGCAGATGTGTCCTTACATTAATCTTGCTGTCGGTCTGTTTAACAGACTTTTGGTCTGAAACAACAGTCCTGAATTAAATCCTGCTTGTGCAACGCGTTAAGTGTCCAGCAAATAAATTATAATTATTATTTGACTGTATTGTTATAAACAGGTGTATGGTCGGTACTGTACCAGAAAGAAATTGATCTAGCAACGTACACATTTATTCTAAACAATGCTCTACCTCCCTGGAGGTGAACGACACAAAACTAACAGCGTAAATAAATCAAATGATTTAATGCTCTGTCCTCCTGATGTGCATCAAAGATGGGGAAACACATTACTTTTTTTTTTAAAGATTAAGTTTTGGGCTTTTTGCATTTATTTGATAGGACAGTGGATAGAGTAGGAAATCAGGAGAGAGAGAGAGAGAGAGAGAGAGAGAGAGAGAGAGAGAGAGAGAGAGAGAGTGTGTGTGGGGAATGACATGCAGGAAAGGTGCCGCCCGCCTGAGGACCACTAGGCCATCTGCGCCCCGGGGCAACACATTTCTAACAATATAATGCACTATTAGAATTGAAGTTCATGATTGATGATCCTTTTGTTTATAAATGTAAAGGGTCAACACGTTACTAACAATTTAATAAACTTCAGTAAACTAGATGACACATTTTAATGCCCTGTCCTCCTCATGCATGTATAACCATGTAATACATTAAAAAAAAAAGGGGTCACAGTGTGTGTCTGTCAGTGGCTCAGCTGCTCACCTCTTGTACATCTGCAGCTCCTCCTGGGCCACCATGAGCTGGGCCTTCAGCTGGTTCCTCTCCTGCAGGACCTCCTTCAGCTCCTGCATGGTGAAGCGCGGTCTGTTGGGGTCTGTCAGGTCCACCACCAGCTGGTTTGGCCCCACTGTTTGCTTTTTTCACAGACAAGGAAAAGCATCTCTGAACTGTCCTCACTTGTGTGAACTGTACATTAGGTCCTTTACACTCACCGTGGCCTCCCCGGACGAGCTCTCCTTTATGATCCTGTTCAGTTCACTCTTCAAGTTGTCCCGCTCCATTTTCAGCTCCTCCACAGATAAGTTGTACTTGTTGACCAAAGTCTCGAACATCTCCAGCACCCGGACTATCCTGAACTGTAAATCCGACACTTCTTCGCCTGCGTTGCTTATTTTTAACAAATCTCGTCCGATAACGTAGGAAATGTCATACACATCTTCCACCGTGAGCTCGAACGCGTCCTTCTCGAAAGCCAGAGCGGGCGACGACTCTTCACCAAACTCCATGACGGAAAGACACGACTTCAACAAAAACCGGGGGGGAAAGTTAGTTTTTCTTCCCCTAGCTTATTCTAAAAACACTCTGAAGATAGCGCTTTATATCTTATTGTCTCCGGCTTTAAGAAAAATACAGACAGAAAGTAACTAACGTCCTGAGCAGCAGCACTTCCCCCATCACTCATCCACCAATAACGTGACTGTGTGCGGACAGCAGAGGAGGGCAAAGTATCCTAGCGACAGGTGAGTACAAAGATCGCGTATACGCATCAAGATGATTCACTCCTCGCTGACGCCGTCACATTACAGACAGCCTTGTGTGTTGGTAGGTAGTGTGAGAGACAGCTCTCAGTTAAACTTCTCACGATCAGATGAGAAGGCACGTGATATGCTTTTTTTTCTTCTTCTAAAAAAAAAAAAAGAGGAATTCTTTCACAAAAATAATATCTAAATCTGCGTTTTTCAAATAGGGGTAGGAGTGAGAGGCCTGCCTGTTATGAGAAAATAATGCAATATCGTTCAATAATCAGATACCGAAATTAAGTGCGATAAATAAACAGAAAAAGAAAAAGAATGCATAATGGCTTCATTCAGTTTTTCTGCCTTTCTGTTGTTCTTCATGTCCTTTCTTGATCTAATATAAATCCACAACACTTATTCACCATGAAATTGCTAATTTATGTGACGTAACCATAGACTGTAAATATTAGGGACGTAACTGAGCTGGTTATCTTCAGATTCGTCTAACTGCATGCTGTGACAGTAAGGCCGTTATACTCATGCCTCCATTCAATTGTTAAAATGTATGCATGCTGACTGAGATTTTCTAAATAGTTTAAGCTTTTAATCCAAAAAGTTACATATTTTCAGATTTATTGCCATATAAAGTTAAAGTCATCGTATGCTGCTTCAAATTGTGATTAATTGCACTGTCCTAAGGCAGGGGTTCCTAAATAATTTTGGCCTGCAACTCCCAAAATAAAGGTGCTAGATACTGCATGATCCTGGATTTGTTGTTAGAATAATGTCACAATAAAGTTGAAAACTTGGAGAAAGAGTTTTAAAAGATAATAAACTGGGCACATTATGGAAAGATGACCTCTTCAACATCTGCTTCACAAATCGAAGGCAGTATTCACTGGTCAGTATGTGACAGTAACACAATAAAAACACCAACAAATTGAAAAATAAACTTTATTATTTCATTTTGAACAAGCATTATTGAACAGGTGTATCCCAGCATTATGAGCAGTTAGTACATTCTGCTGAGAATGTAAAGCTCTTATTATGATTTTTTTTAACGTTCTGTTCCCAAGTTCATTATCTTGTAGAAATAAGATCATTACCAAAGGAATAAGGTCATCTCTGATGTCAGTGTGCAGGAGCAGCATACGTTTCATTACCTTGATTAAAAAAATAAATTGGCTTTATGCATCACAATTAGGTAATGATGCATAACTTAAAAGTATATTATCTTATGTGTAGATAATAAAAAATACTCTTTTAGGACTTTAGAGGCTCTTTAGTGTTCAGTGTTGCAGCGATAGGTTTTAACCAGTATTTAAAACACAAAGAAATTCAAATAAACAATACACATTAAAAAACAAAAGTTGCTGTGTTGCAGTTTAGCTTATACTAACTCATGATGTTTAATACCCCCTGCTCCGACTTCCACCTCAGCGGAGAGGAAGTGTGGACAACAGGAACACGAGGAATACAAAGGAGGAATCCTTCCTGCATCTTGTCCCATCTCCCCCATCCCATTTCTCTTTAGTAACATAACAATGAGTAAGGTCCTTAACTTGCTCTTTTTGTAAAGCGTCTCGATAACATTTGTTATGATTTGGCGCTGTACAAATAAAGGTTGATTGATTGAAATGATTTTGTTGCTACTATTGAAAGTTAAATGTGAAGCAACAATTCCTTCTTCAGAAAAGACTCCAAGTAACAGATGCTACATGCAAAACTGCCAAGCAGACACAGTACACTATGTAGCACAGTGACAACATTTGGCTTTTTCAAATGCACTGTTAAAGCTGACACCAGCAAAGACTGAAGTGGTTCATAAGAGATTTAAATATAGTAACAACATTCAAATGCCGTTTATAATAACCAAGAGATGTTGTCATTAAACCAAGAAACAAATCTATGTTGACCGGGTTTTGTTCAAAAGAAAGAGCAATAGTACAAGAACAAGTTCACATTATACAAACAGACTTATACAAAGGAAACGAGTCTTCTGATTGGTATCAACGTGGGGTCGTCTACAATCAAACCGGCTGCAACCATGGGCATTATGGCCGTGAAGATCCTGTCCACAGGAGAAAACGGAAGAAGTGAGAAGAAGAAATGCAGAGAGGAGGACATTCAGAGTTAGAGAGAATCAAATATAAGCAGCAGGCTCATTTATCACATCTGTATTATATGTTTCTTGATGTATGAGTTGTTACTCACAGGCGTTTAATTCCTGATTCGGGCTGATCAGTGGACCCGGAGAAAGGTGGAGGAGACGGAGGACAAACCCAGGAGCTGACATCATCCTCGATCTCCTCGCTGATGGAAGAGAAAACTGTTACCAAGGTCCAATCTAAGTGGCCACCAGAGCCAGTTCATGTTTTATGTGCTATACAGGTTCCGGGTTTACCACTGTTGTGCCCGGGAACCTGTATAAAAAAAACGACACCCCTATACATCAGGGCTTGGTTGTTGAAAAGGTTTTAATCCAGATTGAAATGATCTGGATTCGCTAATCCACTTTTATTCTCCCAATAATCATGTAATCCAGCTGACTTTCACTCTGGCTGTACCTTTTATAGTAAGCTAGCTCTTCCTGCAGCACGAACACTTCAGCCTTGAGTTCATTCCTCTCCTGCAGGACGTCACGCAGCTCCTGCAGGGTGAAGCGAGGTTTGTCGGAATCCTCCTCGGAGCTGTCCGTCTCCTCCTCTGGCTCTGGATCAGTCGACGCCTTCTGCTGCAGAGATATTATTTCAGTATTTCTCCCTGTACAGCAAGCACACACACTGACACTAATCAAACAGGTAGATCAGTTTCTTTGTGTTAGCACTTTTTAAATAGGAGTAGTTATGAACGTAAAGCGATTATTTTAGTGTGACAAAGATGCACAAGCACAGGGGTGAAAACAGAAATAGATTACTAGCGACTGCAAAAGGAAATGAATGTAGCACTTTAGTGAGCATGACTGAGTAATAATGCTCTGTGTGTTACTGTCTGCCTCTGCTATGACCTCAGATTAGCCCTTTTCACACATGTACTGCTAAACATCGGCCCCTGAAATGTGTAGAGATCCCAGTGTAATGTTAACAATACATCCAAGGTGGTGGATTTTAAAGCAGCAGAGTCTGACGCTGATCAGGACAGTGTGGGCCTAAATATCAATGTAACGTGTGATTGGACGTATTCACAGTATAAGAAGCTGAGTAGTAAGAACATACAGGCGAGCAGAGAAGAGAATGAAGCTGCTTCATTACGTAAAAGAAGATTGAACTAGTCCCACCATATAAACGTCCTCATCATTCCCGCCTATTTGCTTGCTGTGAATTTCCCGGAATATTTTCTTCTGTGTTTTTACACATCGCCTCAGGCAGATTTCTTGCAGACATCTTTTGCTAGGGGGTTTGGCTGGAAAGAGTCAGGATGAATGATCTGGACGTTTGTGTTTAAACATGCAGCCCAACCAGAAAATGTCTGGAAATACTACTGTTAGGGTATGCGTTAGGAGCATGTGTAAAAAAGGGTTTTAGATTCTGTAAAGGAGGAGCTGTGCGCAGGTGTTACCAGTAACATTGCTGCTGTCTTGTCCTCCTCTCTGTTTCGTTCTTTGTAGTTTTTTTCTTCTCGTGATGATTCTGTGAGAGGAGAGGAACTCCTTTTATGCTCGAAGGAATTCGCCATGAAGTCAGGGTCTCCTCCACACTCTTCCCACACTGAGTTCGGTTTGATGGAGTTTACTGGTACTGCTGCTGAGGACTGGATGGTTAAACACAAAAAGAAAACTCACTCAGACATCAGAAAACTTAACATTAACCAAAAAATTATTAACTTAATTCCATTCTTGGTTACATCCAGGAGAAATGTCTTTGATCTTTTTCATTACCGTCCTTTGTGGAGACGTTGATGTAGACACCATAGATCTGCCGAATGATGTTTCTTCTATATCAGCGACCTCTCTCTCCAGCTCCCAACCCCGGAGCTCCTTCCTCAACCTCTTGACCTCCACCTGCAGAGCGCCCAGCTCCTGCTGCCTGACCTGGGCTGCAGCCTCCAGCTCCGCCCGCTGCTGAATCAAAGCCTTCCCCTGAGCCTCCATCACTCCTTTCCTGTGACGCAGGTCCTGGTTGATTCTTATCAGACGATGCTGCTGCATCTGGAGCTGCAGTTGAATACATAGAATTTATGAATTTCTGTACCAGGAAGTGGATTATAACTTTTTGTAAATAGCTGTAAAGTTGCCAGTGTGTGTTCTGATTATGTTTTAAATCCTCACCGCCTCAACGTCCTCGTTTTTTATTGTCAGCTCGTGGTCTTTGGCCCGGATTTCATCCCTCTGCTTATCCACCAAGTCTTTCAGCTTTTTCATCATCTGCCTCTCCTTCTCTGACATTCCTGCAGCCATCATGAAAGAGGCACACAAATCCTCTTATGCACGCAACATCAGCAGAATACAAGAAGAAAAATATGTAGCGCTTTTTACTGAGCCAGGCGAGTGCGACTGACCTGCAACAAAACAGACGACCTACACGAGGAAAAATGCAAACTCAGAAACAATGCATATTCAAATACTGATTGTCTGATAATGAATCCTCGTCTCGCTCTTCTGTTGTGAAGACTTGATTTGCAGGGTTTTGCTTTTGCAGATGTTTTTGTTTGTTTATGGCTTTGCATCACTCGTATTAACATCGGGTCTGACGTTAACGCAGGTGTTTTGTCTTTTTGTGGCTTGTATTTTCTCTTGCAGCACGTCTCCATCATCATTGCATTTGTTTTGACCTTTCCTTTAAAAAAAATAATAAATCTGCATGGTTTCTAAATTTGGAGCCTTTAAACATTCAAATGAAAACTTTCACTTCTATAATATGACGATAACTATACAAAGTTAGTGCAATGCTTTTGGGAGTCAAACTTTAAAGTCTTTATATGCGATTTTTTGATCCAGCAGATGTCGCCCTTGAGCTCCAGCATGAAACCAAAACAACTGGCGCTGCATTGTTGTGTTAGCATGCTAATGCTAGCGATCTTTATTATGCTGGTATCTTCACACTGCATGTAAATTTACCTGAAATGAGCGTGATCTAGAAACACAGTTAAGCAGTGAGTACAGTATGTTATTCTTCTTTTCTCTAGTCCCTCAATTAAACAACTTTTATACACGAGGGGAGGAGTCAGCCGGCCGTCCGGGCGATGTAAACAAAGTGAAGATAGGACTCTGAAAACTCTGAAAACATCACAGACAGTGGGACTCGGGTGTTACACCCATTGTAGACAGTCATGACTCACAGAGTTATTTTCAGAGGAGATACTTGATTTATATTATATTTAAGTGTGAAAAATCTCATATAAAGACTTTAAAGGTAACAATTCAAACAAGAACAGACCCTTTTTGCAAATGATTACCACATGACAACGCACGTTCAACTTGTTGTATGTCACAGTGTAACAGAGTAATACTTACTGCTGGCATGTATGTAGGAAATCAAAAACAGTGTGTGTGTGTGTGTGTGTGTGTGTGTGTGTGTGTGTGTGTGTGTGTGTGTGCTGTGGCCCTGACACTAAGTTTAACTCCAGCCACAGTTAGAGTCTAACACAAGCGCTGCATTTCAAACTGCTTCTAAAATCGTCTCCTTTAAGAGCTCCTGTCGGCCTCTCTGCACAGCCTCCTGTACGAAGCTGATCCTGCACAAACTCACGCGCTCTACTCGGTGTAAATTAGTGTAACGTACAGCAGATGGTTATCAGCTCAGCACACATCTGCTGTGACACACTTCACACGGTCTGAACTGGAACCCTCAGCTTTGACTAATAAACGTACCAAGTTTCCAGATTCATCACGAGGAATATAAAATACCAGACGTTCATCATGAACAGATAGTCGAGCATGTCTTGATGTCACAGCAGTTATTCATCTTTGAACTTCACACATTATTATGTAAAGCATTACGTGTTACCTGTTGGAAAATAAAGGTGTTGTTTAAATTAAGTTGAGTCTAAATCTTACAGAAGAGCGGCAGTCTGTAGGCCGTTCATTGGTTGAGAGTCGAGTCGAGGAAGAAACCCCTCTCAAAAACATGATAAATGTTTAAACAAATGTTTTTCTATAAATCATCTAACTCATCTTCCACACTCTGGTATCGAGTCATCGCTGCAGAAAAACCCACCCTCGTGTCTCTGCAGGTCTTCCTCTGTGATGGGAGACTCTTTGAGAGAGAGGCTCACCAACAGCTTCTTGTTCTCCGCCTGAAGCTGAGTGATTTGAGAGAGCAGGTCCTGGACTTCTCCTCGCCACACATCCTCCACCAGCTCCAACTCCTGAACACAGGAGAAACACAATGAAAGAAAAGACGAGGGGGAAACCACACCAAAACACAACAAAGTGTACGCACATACATGTGTTTGAAAATAAATCTGCAGATACTCTTGTGAGTTGGCTGTCACCCAAAATTCTCATATTGTTATCATTGTGATTGTACAATAATCATTATGAAGACTTTGTGCAGTATGGCACGTTGGTAGTATTCGTTTCGTTTCCTACATCGTTATTACATCACAAAGCACTGATTGAGTGGACTACAGTATTTTACCATGCTATAGTATATAATATATTCATTTTTAGAGACAGGGCAGTGGACGGCGTGAGAAATCAGTGATAGAGAGAGAGAGGGGGATGACATGCAGGAAATGAGCCACAGTTCGGATTTGAACCCAGGTCGTCTGCCTGGAGCACGGATGGGCAACTTTGGTCACAGCAAGGGCCACATTCATTAAATTCCAAATGACAGGGGGCCAAATTGTAGGATACAAAAACGATTACAGTCAATTATGTCTCAAATTTAACTCAACATATACCACTGATCTAATATTATTATGGACATATTGTCAGGAAAATGGGAAAGTGGGACACAGGTGCGGACCCAGGGGTGTCTTAAAGTTATCCAAGAAGGATAACCACAAAAATCGCAAGCGATAGATTGGAGGCTGCCAGGGAGGCCTTCAAACTCAACACAAAAAGCCGGGGTTTATCAACTACCCAGCACCCCAAGTTACTTTGGCAATACACACAAATACACAGAAAGTTATTTGTTTGTGTTTATGAACACACAGACAACAAGAGACAACAGAGGGAGAAGCTCTCTGAAGGTGAGATAATGAGTCAGCACAGAGAACTGGATTCCAGGAGTATATATAAGCTCCCCACACCTGGTTTTAATCAAGGCCAATCAGCCACACACACACCTGACTGCACTGAGGTGATTCATTCACCAACCCCAGTGAGAAGCCAGAGAGTGTGTCCTTACACACATTTCTGCTTTTCATGATTTCATGGCAGATTTCATCATGTGTTGTTCATGTTTCCAATTAATTGATGTGTAAAAATTGACCTGAGGGCCACGGTGAGGGTTGATGGGGGCCGCCAGTTGCCCACCCCTGGCCCTGGAGGAATATAGACTCTGTACATGGGGGGGGGGCATTAGACACATAGCAGGTAAACGTGTTTAGGTAAATAGACAGGTGTACAGGTAAAGACACACACACACACACACACACACACACACACACACACACACACACACACACACACACACACACACACACACACACACACACACACACACACACACACACACACACACACACACACACACACACACACACACACACACACACACACACACACACACCTCCTGGTGCTTCCTCTCCTGCCCGGATCGGTCGCTCCTCTCCTGCCGCAGCCTCTCCAGCTCCCTCCGCAGCTCCTCGGCCTCCTGCCCCGCGGCCCCGTGGCTCACCAGGGTCTCCAGCAGCTCCAGGACCCGCACCACTTTGGGCACCACACCGACCAGAGACTCGCACCCGAACTTGTCTATGATCCGCTCGAACTCCTGCCCGAGCGCCGCCGCTATGTCGTACACATCCGGGACAGTGAGCTCCGCCGCGGGTCTGTCCAGCGCCGTCATAACGCACGTCTCCATGACTGTAAATATCACGGTGTGTCCTCTGCGGTGACTGAACCAGCGACATTAAACATCTTCTAAGTCCTCTGACTCACGTACACGACTTACCTGTCGCGTAGAAAAGGCGGTTCAGGTGAGCTGGCCGGAGCGTGTTTGAACATGGAGACAGCCCGTTCAAGTTTGTTGACAGTTATAACTTTACCAGTTACTTCTGATGCTGCGTTCAATGTCTGAAAGAAAACTGGAAAACGGAAATCGAAAAGAATTACACACGTACAGATCATAGGTGCGATAAACAAAACTATTTTAAAACGTAATTTCAAGACAGTGCAAATATTCAAAAGGGGTTTTTATCTGGCGACAGTTTCCTATTCATACAAGTGTCATTATGAAATAACGAAAGAGTTGTCAAATGAGGCACATGCGATAGAGAAGGAAGTTAAAAGTTAAAATAACATAACTTAACATTGCAAATGACTAATAAGCTGTTAGATTGCTATTATTATACTCTTTTTAGACTATCGTGGTACGGTCATGTTTCATGTTTGCTAAGTATCGGTCGAATATGAGAAAATAATTCGCATTTACAACTGCGTGTGAAGGCAGCAGCTCTCCCCACATTTAGGCTATTTAAAGACCTTCTGCGCATGTCATGATATAACAAGCATATTACCTTTTATGCTAAATGAAACTTGACCTAAATTACAAGCTACCTGAAAAGAGTAAAAAATAAAACCAACTTTGTTTTAGTTATAAAAATATTAATCAAAACATTTTCAATTAAATTAGAACATTTTTAATGTAAGTTACAGTCTTGGTCAAATAAAAAAGGTCATTAAGATTTCACTTTACCAGTACTTACATTTACATAGAAACTTAATTTCTTCATGAAAAAAAATACTAAAAACCTTTACATCAATGCCATAAAACCTAGAAAAGCAGTCTATAGCTTCTTTAACCTGCGATAGTAGTCTTCTAATTTTGTGTTAAAATCTTTAATAAAATACAAACAGAGAAGTTTAATCAGCTTGAACACCATCAAGTACTACAATGAGACTTTAAATCAAACATTTATTGTTCATTTTTGTTGGACATTTACACTTCTTACAAGGAGAAACCACCATTATCTTAACTAAAATATATTAATAGATCTGAGTGTATAAAGACATTTTTAAACAGAGGAAAGATAGAACATAAAAAGATGCATTTTAAGACCCTGTATGAAAAGCTCCCAGAGGCAAAGAGGACTTTAACATCACATTATTCCGCAAGCTAACCCTGAATTCACCGTATTTAGCCTAAAAGAAGCATTGATAATTACGGACGCCTACATCCGATAATTATGTACAAGCATTGATTCTTTATGCTTCATCAACATATCCAGGTCCTCCTCGATAGAGAGACATTCAAGAGATGAGTGTATGTATAAATTATACTTGGTGTGAGGTGCACACTCCTATACAAACTACGTGTTTTCACAGGTATCATTCAATGCAGTAGTACTTTTCAAGGCCTCGGAGACAATCTTTTACACTGTTGAGAAAGAAAGATGTTTTGCACACAAGAGGGTTGTAGTTCTTCATGAAGGCAAAGCAAGAGGTATGTTAAAACTTTTGCAGGAACGTATACGCACAGAATGTGATTGCCCAGTTTCCTATATTAATATATATAACAACATAAATAGAACACAGTGTACATTTAGAAGAAAATGCTATGTGCTCTGCATCGAGTACCCCAAAACAGTGTGCAAAGATGTTTTACAAAGCTTGATGAAAAATCTATTGACAAGATATGCTTTCATTTGTGATTATCAGACTTCTAAAAAGAATCGGTACATTTCAATTTAACATTTTAATAAAGCAGAACAAAAATACTTTCACACAGCCTAAAAGTAAAATTTTAACCTTTCGTTTTTTTGTTTTTGTTCCCACATACTTAAATTAAAAAGGACTCTGTTGTGATGGCATACAGTGTAACTTAAAAAAAAAGGGGTAAAGACATTGTTTCCCCGACAGGCATCCAGAGTCAAAAATCAGGCTTCTTGGCAGAAAACAAAGGAACAAAGAAAAAGATGATGCAGCCTTTAACTTAAGGAACAATCATTCACAGAAAGGCGTTTGTCCTCGGTCAAGTGAGACATTCGAGAGTGGAGCTTTTTCCTCTTCTGCTCAGCATCACTTCAACTGCAACGTAAAGAAGAGAGGACGTACTTTAAATATTCACACACAACATAGATACACATTCAAGACATGTTTCAGACTGCCCACCCTAATCCGTCTGAAAATCTGATCTGGGTGATATGTTAGAGTTGTTTTAAAATGCGACAACAATCACATTTCTACAGAAGCATCTTAGTCTAGACCAGTGGTTCTAAACAGCTGGGTCGGGACCCAAAAGTGGGTCACAGAGCCGTATCCAGTGGGTCGTGAATGTGTGCCTGGAAAAACGAATTGCGTCAAAGAGTTTGTTAAGCGCTTTTTAAACATGTTTATGTTGTTTTGTTTCTTTGTTCCGTCCTTTTTTTTTTTTTTTAACGCGTGAGGTCCAAATTATTTTACATAAAATAATAAATCGGTTGAAAAATAACAAAACATTTCGGGGTGGGATTTTGTGTGGAGGAGTTGACGGTGGGTCCTGAGACTGTACCAGTGGTCTAGACGCTGGATTCATCGAGAAGTTTGATTAGATTTGACATATTTTTGTTTGTTTGTTTGGCACATCTAGTTTTTGCATAATTAGTCTTTTTTTTGTTTGGTGATTTGTAACACTGTGGGCACCTGAGGTCACATAGGTAGGAAGGCAGGTGGAGGACCAAAATGCACCTGTGTGGGGTGCTGGAGAGGTTAATACATGTGTCCCATGCATAGTAGGTGGGCTATAGTCCTCCAAGCGGGAGGCCCAGGTTTGAATCTGACCTGTGGCTCCTTTCCTGCATGTCATTCCCCACCCTCTCTCTCTCTCTCTCTCTCTCTCGCTGATTTTTTAAATTCTATCCACTGTCCTACCTCCAAATTAAGGCATAAAAAGCCCAAAATAAACTAATTGGTTTGTTTTTTTAAATGCACCTGAATGAGCCTACGTTTCCTTTTTTTTCTTTTTTTTTTTTTAACAACAACAGGAGCCAGGATTTTATTTGTTCTTATTTTGGAAAATAAATCATAAGAGAGGCAGGACTCTGCGAACACCACATCCTGAGTTTTGGACAAATTGCCTCTACATTGGCAGTATGATTATGAACCACTGGACTTTAATTTGCAACCTGTTGAATTGTAACCTCATAAGAAATGAAGCAGTTTAAGACACTGCTTTCCCTTTTTCGATGTGGAAGCTGCATCAACTCCATGTTTACAATCTGAGTGATTGGATATTGTATTGTCTTTTTTTAATCCTACTACAATTTTAAATATTGTATGTATTAATTTCAATATCTTATTGCTTTTATGTGTTGTATTTTATTTTTTCATTTTTATACATATTTTTTAAATTCTTATTGGTGTGCATTAGTCTCTCAATGATTTTATAAACTACTTTTTCGTCAATAACTTTTCTGCACTCTTGTAAAGCACTTTCAACTGCAATTTAATTTGTCTGATAGGTGCTGTATAAATAAAGTTTGATTGATATCTAGTAAATAACAAAGTGACAGTCCAAAAGATTTGATTTCAGGAACAGTCTGACAGAAAAAGTCTTATTTCCTCATATGAAACATGAACATCCTGATAAACAACACGTAGTCTGTTGGTCACTGCTCTCACCGGGGTTTTGGGTAGCAAGTTGGGTTTCTGAGCCAGCGCAGGTTTTCTCATGACAGCAGGCTTGCTGGGTTTTGGAGACATGGTGACAGGATGTCTCAGCAAGGAGGCGTCCCCGTTCCCCTCAGGAAGCTCCTCGAGAGGAACTCCGGCCAACTCGTAGTGCTTCTTCCTCAGCTCGCCCAGACGCAGACGCTCGTTCTCCAAACTGCTCTCTAACTCCAGCAACTTCACCTGGAGGAGCCGGAAACAAACGGGGGGGGGGGGGGTTATTTACTGTCAACACGCTGACCTCAATTTAACCTCTTTGCACAACGTCTAAAGTGAAATATAAGACGTGAATGTTTTGAATGTCTGATCTAAAATGTAAACAAAGTGAGGCACATGTAAACTTGCAGCCAGTCTCTGTTTAAACCCCCCCACACAATCCCACGATGAAGTCTCACCTGTGACTCCATTTCCTCCCTCCTCAGTTTGATGAGGGACATCCCGGAGAAGTCCATGGTGTCTGCACAGGGACAAAACGTTACTGAAAATTCAAATTCTTCTGAAATAATCACATACGCATATTAATCTGTACTCACCTTTTTCCTCCAGGTGTTCCTGACCCGTCCTTGTCGAGGCCACCACATTAGCCGCCATTTCATTGACGTGGCGAGAAGCCTGCTGGAGCGACGTCAGCTTCTTACTGTTTCGGTCGGCCTTCACCTGAGAGCGGAGGAGATGACACAAGACGTCAAGCGTCTAAAAACATCTTCACAAAGTCACAGAAACAAAAAGATAAAAGTGCTAAAACAGTGTGTTACAAAAGAAGAACAAAGCGGTCGCTGATTCAATTTAATGTTGGTGAATTTGTTCTCTCAGGTGATGAAATCATTGCTCTACTTAAAATCTGAATGATTTCACAGCTGCAGTACCTTAAAAGCTCTTCATCAGAATGTTTCTTTCTGGATATGAGTAGATTACCTTCGATGCAGCGACCAGCTGAGCCGTGCTGGCAGCGATCTCGTGGGAGCAAACGATCAGCTCTTCATATTTGCCGGTGTGCAGCACCACCTTATCAGCAGACTCCCTGTGGGGACGCAGGTAAAGAGGAAATGTGACTTTATTTATCCCAGAGGGTGATTCTGTTCCACAGTCCAACCAGACCATGCATACATTTACAAACAAACAACAGAAGGAGATTAATCAGAGACAATAAAACAAAAATCTGTATTTGAAAAAGGCGAGCGATGGCAGGCTGATACCCTCGTGTGGTCTCTTTGGGCAATGACACCCACAAGGGCCAGATAAGAAGCACAGTTTGAGGACAACAGAAGTCAAAAAATACGCAAGACATTCAAGGATATGTCATATCAACCCACTCAGCGGCACAGCCAGAAAAACGGCTGAATAAGGAATCTCCAACATTTCCTGAATGAAAAGGAATTATTCAGGACATTTGTCTCTAAGACCTGTATAGTGGCTATTT